GTTTGGTATGAAAACCCGGGTGCATACATTCCGATAGTGCGTCTCAACAGGAAAGAGAAATGCGGGCCAATATTGTTGAAAATAATGAAAGTATTTTTAACTTCCTGTAAACCCTTGAAAACCATTGCAATTTTTCCAACATTTCTTTGGGGAAAACCGCTATCCTGAAAGCATAATTTAAAGGCAAAAAGAAGCTTGCTTCGTCTGGCAACCTTTGTAAAGTTGTACGTTGCTGTACATTATTATTGTGTGGAATTTTATGCCTTGCTTGGAATATAAATTTCAAGGTGGTTGACCACAAAATGACCAATATATTCAAATTTATGCTTCAAGCATGACCAAACGTCATCGACTATATGGCAGCCAAAAAGAAGTAAGCAATATTATCTGTTTGTATTATATTGTTTTAATAACACGCTACGAAATATAGAAGAAAGAATAGATCGATATACACATGCGATTTCAAAGACCCAAGACATAAATATCGAATGGTATCTCGCTTTTTTGACAGGTAGGCTGGATTCTCAAAAGTTTATAAATATCTCGTCCGGTTGCTTTGTATATTAAACCGAACATGATCCATATAATGGTTTGTATATACACAATTTTACAAAATAAACACACAATTATGCGAATTCCTTTAGACTATATATGCTCGATTTATATGAATTTAAAATCAAAATTTATATCCTATAAAGTAAATGTAGTTTAATAGGCTCGTTAATTTGCTATTTTACACACTGACTTTGTTATTTTACACTCGCTGATATTTAAATATTATAAATATACGACGTATTTGGCTTATGTATTGACAAATTAAAGGTGAATTTGGTAGTGTTTTAAATCAATTTTGCTAACTCATTACAAACGGAAAGGAATGTATGTTTGGCCCACACAACACTTATCGAATTCAAGTACTAGGTATTCCTAAGTTTTAAATTATAATACAAATCTGTCGTATCTTATTTGATAGAAAATTTAAAAAACCTTTTTTAGTGGCAACTTTATATTTGTGTTTATGTCTAAAAAAAGCAAGGTGGTTCTAAAATTGTTGCTGACAAGCGTAAAAAGCGTCCTACAAGCCTTTTATAGTAAAATTGTGGGAAAAGCTAATTTATTATTTAAGCAATCAAAAAATCAGATTTGTTTACATATGCTGTGTATACTAGTCAATTATTAATTGTTAATTTTTTATATGTTTAGTAATATGTTACTTATTCTAGTGGGTTTGTTTGATCGGTTGCCAAGTTAATTGAGTATGTATACTTGTACATTAAGCTGAAAATTTACCATTTGTTCACATATATACTTCCAACTTTCTATGCACATTTTTCCTAGCTGTGATTTGCCTGTTTTTTTGAGACTGAACCATGTGTTGACTTTAAACATGCAGGAAATAGATCTCTTTCAAGTTGCGTACGTGTCGTATTTTTCCTTTTGTGCATCATCATGCAGCCGTGACAAGTGGACAAACCAGTTTACATGTGGCTAATTGTCAGGGCTGCTTCCTGTTTTTTTTTTCATTTTAGTTACAAACTGATTGTCCATTGACAATCTCATGTAACCACCTTTACCATATATTTCCATTTGAGTTTAAAATCTGTAAGAATTTGAAATCTTATTATGCCCAGATGTGCCCCCCCCCTTTTTTTTCTAGGGATAGGGGGTGGGCTCTGCCTTCATTTGCTGGCAATTGACAATTCCAGGTTTTAGTTTGTGTGTGCAGGGGGAGATTGGAAGTAAGGTATCACATTGCTGATTATGCTGAAAAAGTAAAAATGGTGGCCGTGTAAACACGGAGTGATAGCTTATACTTGTAAATATTGAAATATATTTTGGTTGTTTCGGCAGTTATTATTGAAATTTTCAGCACAATCAGCAATATGATACCTTACTTCCCATCACCCCCATGCACATAAATTAAAAGCTGGAATTGCCTATTATAATCCCCACCAAGTCATTGAACCACCAAAACTGATTATGAAACAACTTTGTGTTGCACAAATTCTTCAGCATTTCCAAGTTTCAATATATCCCCACCTCCTAACAATAACCAGGGTGTCCACAGGCCTTGAAAATCCTGGAAAGTCCTTGAATTGGAAAAAAAATCCAGGACTGGAAAGTCCTTGAAAATCAGTAGAAGTTCTTGAAAGTCCTGGAATTAATTTCCTTAACCTCCAGCTGTGCCAACATTAGTGATTTTGATTAAAATTACTGAATAAAGTGAAATATTTACGGCAAATCCGTGCCATTTTCAAAGATTTTTCCCAGTTCTAGGTTCTTGAATTTACTGAAAAAGGGGCTTGAAAGTCGTGGAAAAGTCCTTGAATTTCACCTTCACCAAAGGGTGGACACCCTGATTAACCTATTGATTGCTGGCCAGTGCTCTCTTGACAGGAAAAATCATCTGGCTTTAGACGAAGTAAAATAATAAAGTGGGGCATAATAGGGGTGCAATGCATGCCCCCAAGCCCCCTAGAATTATCACAAATGATTAATCCCCCCCTGGCATTCTATGTATGCGTGCATTTATGTACATATTTTGCTACTTTGGGGTTGCACCTTGCATAGGACTTTGTGTCCCCGGTTGTGCTTATTCCTTTTGAGTAAATAATACATGTATATTTATGTAATGTACTCAATAAATTTTTGAAGAAAAAAAAATGAATCCTTTTTTTTAAATTTTACATGTAGCAAATATTCACTTGTAAGAGGAACTTCATAGGTTCAAAGATCTTTCAAAATAAATATTCCTGAGCATTTTCTGTTAAGTGTTGATGTTTGTGCAATCATAATATTTGAGATAGGCAGGGCAAAACTTCGAAACTCGCATACCACGGACATTTGTTCCATTTTAATCTAACGTACGTTCCAAATTATGACAAATAGTGTGCTATGTATTCCATACGGTTGCTAAGGTATGTATACATTAAAATCTTACATCAACTTGCCTTAAGTTTTAAGCTATTAGTAGTTTTCCCTTTTATTTTATAAATTGCTTCCGTCTTTGATCATTTAAATCACTACTCGAAAGATACATTAAAATTGTGTCAATTTTATGAATTAGAAGTTATGATCAGAAATGAACTCTAGTGAGTACTTCATTTGAGTTACATAGTGTCGTACAGTTCATGTAATTGGCACAAATTGCACAAAAAACTGCTCATCCGTCACGTAGACTCGTATAGTGTCAATACAAGACAGACTATCGAGACAAACTGCTATAGAATAGCACGATCTACTGAGTACTGTGCAATGCCAATGGTTTTGGCAACAAATCCTCTACTCTCTACCTATAAACTCTCATGCAAACTCTCATTTCTCAACTCGCATACAACTCTTGTTCTCGTTTGACCGGGGCATAAGAGTTGAGAAAACTCTCATGCAACTATCGCTTCTCAACTCTCATCATCAACTGATTCAACTCCCATTCCCGTTTGACCAGAGTTTCGAAAACTTATGAAAGCTTTCTCAACATGCACTGATGACCCGGTCAAACGAGACTACAAGTCGTACTAAGAGTTGCATGAAAGTTTATGAGAGATATTACGAGTCAAACGAGCAAAAACTCAAGATATAGATTATGGATCATCTTGACGCATTCCCTCATTCAATGAAAATCGATTTCTGGTTATACGCTTCCAGGTTGCGGAGGTTTAGTCCGTACCTTCTACGACTCCATAATTTTAATCTACTCTATGTCTCTATCAAATTTGTTAATCATTAAAAGATCAGTAAATAATCGGTCGTTAGACGGATTTAAAAAATTGAGCATCATGACCACGTGATGTTAATGAGTTAACAAGAGATGTGGGCGGATAGTCGTGCTCGACACTGTCCATTGACAAGTAAAATTTCCTGTCGTTAGAAAGAGTAATATTGTAAGAGAGGCGCATCAGAGCGCATTGCTGCTTAATTGATTAACAGGAAACGCGGGCAGAAAGTGTGAAGGGCGCACTGCAATTCTTTAATCTGTGAAATAACAACGGACATTGTTCACCTATTAATCCACCGCCCTTGGCGATTAAAATCCTCTGGTTTAAATAGAATATAAGGAATAGGGTACAAGTAATCTGGGCAAAATTAATTTCTATAAAAGAATTCTCAAGTTATTTGAAAGCAAGGTGTTGACAAAGTAGAGCGCATTCAGAACGAGTGAAATTATTGGAGACAGAAATTCGAGGGAAAGATTTTACTAATCTTCACTCTTTTTTTCGCTTGTTTAATTTTCCCGTCTTTGCTTGGCCGATTGGAAAATCTCTAATCGTTCATAACGGCATCGAGTCCCTCTGTATGACAACCTTGGTTATCAAGTTTTGAATAGAATAGCAAAAAATAGGCGATTTCCTAAAACATCTCTTAATCATATACAATTTTTAGACTTAAGCAGGAGCAGTTGCAACAAATGTAACTATAGTATATGAATGAATGAATGAATGAATGAACGAATGAATGAATGAATGAATAAATGAATAACAATATTTAATGAGGTTGAACACCAATCTAACAATAAAAGGTTAATGAGGGTGGCCCTCAGTATACAAGATAATTAAACCTATACATATTTATACTATACAGTATAAAAAAAGTAAAAATACGCTATTACAAATTAAATAAGACGATTAGAGATATATTTCAGTTATTAAAAGTACTTAAAGTTAAGTCTTTGAAATCAGTAGTTAAGTTGTTCCAAATCTTTACGCCTCGATAGCTAAAAGATTTTTGTCCTGTTGAAGTAGACAGTTTGGGTATTCTTAGTCTGCCATCAGCTGCGTTTCTAGTATTTACATCATGCATATCACGAGTGTAAACATGGCGGGAGTCGAAGCTGCGATTCTGGTGCAGCTCTCAAACTAACTGAATAGCTACAGACTCCAATTGACGAGCATTGACCGTCTGTGACAACCAATTTTTTTATTGTTTTAGCTCAATTTGTTTTGCAGTGAAGGTGCATTAAGGCACTACTTGTATATCATGCAGATGAATGATGATTGTTTTGCTGTTTTCTCTTTAGAGCACTTGAAAGATTTGTAGTAAAATTGAGATTTTTGAAAACAAGGCCTGATGAAATGGACTTGGACCAGGTATAAAACTAGGAATTTGTTGTTTTTATCATGAAATTTGTGCATGCATGGATTTTAATTGCCGCAGAGCAAACTTGAAAGTAACTTGTCCATGTAACCGAAGGCAATTTTAGTTGTATAATAATAATGAGATCAGTATAATGAGAGTATTTCAAACTTTCAGGGAGATGTGGTACTCGTCTCAGCCAAGTTCAATGATGGGTGGTTCAAAGGAATACGGTTGAGAGGATACAAGGTATTTCTCATTCATCGTCGCCACATTAGCTTATCGTAGAATACTACCTAGTAGTATATATACTGATAGTTTTCCAAAAGATAAAACCAGCCGTTGTTCTCGTTTGATCAAGCAATGAAAGTTGAGAAAACTCTCATGCGAACTCTCGCTTCTCAACTCTCATGCAACTCTTGTTCTTGTTTGACCGGGGCATGAGAGTTGAGAAAACTCTAATGTAAACTCTCGCTTCTCAGCTCTTATCAACTCTCATGCAGCTCTTGTTCTCGTTTTACTGGGGCATGAGAGTTGAGAAAACTCTCGTGCAAACTCTCGCTTCTCAACTCTCATCAACTCTCATGCAACTCTTGTTCTCGTTTGACCGGGGCATGAGAGTTGAGAAAACTCTCATACAAATTCTCGCTTCTCGGTTTTGTTTTATACTTTTCTATACCTATATACTGGACCGCCACGTTTGAGATATATTTTTGATGTAGTTGAAACACAAACTACAGAAGTATCACAGGTATACATACCTGCTTGCTTTTAATTTGATATAGGGCTTAAAAGATCAGATACGTTTAATCACTCATTTAGTGCCATTTGGGGGGCGGATAACACAGAATTCTGTGAATTTGAAAATCCATATAAGTGATACTTAAAAGTAGAAGTATAGTTGTGAAGTCTTAAAAGTAGAAGTGTAGTCTACTTTGAAGTAAAAATAGAAGTGGGAGTTTAAGCTTCACGTTTCCGGGAACGGCAAACGGCAGGTTCGAACTTTCTTGGAAAAATTTTCGTTGAACGTTTTCGTTTCATATTTTCTTTCTTGCGTCGAAAGAATAATTATGTATTTCAGTTTTAAAACAGCAAGTTCATTTACTCTTTATTGCCTGATACCGTATAATTTTTCTTTGCCTGGCGTTTGACGTGTAACAATAAAACGACTTGAGTAAGACTAAAAAAGTATACTGCAGGCAAAACGTACTTAATTAAGTAAAAAGTAGCTACAAAGTATCCTTAAAAAATACTTGAATTAAAAGTAAAAGTACTATTGTCTGTAGTGTGAAGAGGGGGCGGGTGTACTTCTTCAATGGATTGACATACAAAAGACATAAAACAACACACGCATTATATGCGTGTACCTAATATACAATATTTCACGTCATGGTTTACTTTCCAGACCCCGTTGAAGATATAAGAAATCCATTAAATAAATAATGCCTATAAGTAAGCCACAAACGAGAGATCCCAGACGCATGTAGAGGTCCTATTACCTATCCCAAAATTAAAATAAATCGGGAATAAATCACGTAAACGAAACAAAAGTTAGACGAAATACTTCGCCACAACATGAAAATAACGAAGTAAAACGTCACTTCTTCAAACGACTTCGTTCCAAGTAAAAGTACTCCAGAAAAAGTTTACTTTGTTACATGCTGACTTCTCAAAAATAGTATTCAAATACAGTAACGAAGTACATAAATTACTTCGTTACTTGACACCATTGCATGAAACACTCATGTATTTTAATTAAGTTCAAACATAGTTGGAACACTATCAAGTTTATTTTGTTAATCTAAAGCTTAAAATGTCACTGTAACAATGCGTGACTAGCAACTAGTACTCCCATCAACTTTCATATTTAATTATGCATCAGACACTGTCACAGCGGGACGCAGCCAATAGTATATAGAAAGTTTACCGTGACGTGTGCTATATTGTACATGATATACAACCGTGCATCTTTCATCGTCTTACTTCCGTATATACTATATAAGCACAGCTCCAACCGTACACAAAGCAAGCTTGAAATTTGTCCATAGAAACCTTGGAAACAAACACGTTATTGCACGGCTCGACAATTTAAGGTATGGTCTAATATAAAAATCAATTTTAATTATCACAAGAATTAAACGGAAACGTCTGTCGGGCCTCGTACACGCTTTTGCTGGAAGAAGAAGACAATGTTGCTATAAAATACGCGCTTATTGAAAGATTTTTGAGTACTTTTTGTGGGGAAGAGGGTTTGGTGTTAATCTGTAAAGAAGTTATGACGTTGATGGCAGTGGTATGATTTACTTTGCTACATTCCAAGGCAAGGTTATTTAATTACTTGCACAGTGTTGATAAATATACAGCCATGCGAAAGATATTAAATACGGCGTGGTTATGTGGTCTTGTGGTTCTTAAACTTAACTTATATATTTTAAATCGCTCTATTGACACTACTGCAGTTATATGATAGCGACAAATTGATGCTATAAATGTTCCATTGTACTGGGAGTATTTCCTACCAAACACAACGACGTCAATTTAATATAGTATCATTCTGATTGCTTTCCCTTTTAGAATTGTCTACAATGTCAATGTACCGAACTGCCCCACATAGTAAAAAGACCTATAAGTACTAGCTGAATGCATGATAGTTGTTTCAATCGATTTTTTTGAGGAATTGAATTGACAGTTGGCTTTGTCTGGTGGCCGTCTGAACACTTTAATGACATGTGCACCGCCAGCACCGGACACAGTTCAACTTGCTAGTCTTTTATTTGTCTCATACAAGAATGAAACATATCTTAGATACATTACACAGAGGGGATTTTTAAAAGTGATTTAGCATGTAGTCGGAAGTGCCAAAGTATATCAATATGCTATTTATGTGGGCTATATGTAGAACCACGGACCAGGACCCGAGGACGGATGTAAAACCACTAAACCAAATTAATTTCACGGGCGTGGGGTAATCAAATTTTTGGTGGCGGGGGGAGAATATTGTAATATTAAATGTTGTAGTAAAGCATTTTGGAGAACGGTTGAGCATTGTCGTTTTGTCGTCGTACACAAGCAACAATCTCACATCTTGTAGCAAGTCTGCCAACAAGTTGTGTTTCCACTGCTTGTACCAAGTTGTCAACAAATATGGACCAACTTGTGAGAGGAGATTTTTTTGTATGTTATGTAACACGCGCTCAAAACTAATGAGTGTAATATAACACATGCTGTTATGACTATACATCCAAAATTTTTATTTTTCGATACGTTTCTCAATCGGCAAACAAACTTAAAAAGTATGTTTAGTGCTTTAACTGTAAAATAATGCTAAAATGAAGAGATTTTAGATGGTACGCCAAAGCGAAAATTGGCTTACATGCATGGCTGTAAATATGGCGTCAATTTTAAAGCATCATTGATAATTGTATTTTAATTGGCAATTTTTTGCTATTACTTTATGTTTCTCAACCGGCAAATGCATTTAAACAGGTTGCTAACTGTATAAACTAGAGACTAAAGCTAAAACAAAGCAATTTTGAGATGTACGCCAAAAAGATTTTCGGTTTTGAACACGTTTTATCGCAAATACGTGACATAGAAAAAAATTGCCTCTTAACAGTTGTGACATGTCACCTTGTTGATATCAGTTATCAGACTTGTTGCAAGGTTCTTCCAACAAGTCCGATACACGGTCATGGCATAACAATATTGTTACAACCTTGTGTCGTCAATCTTGTAACATTCTTGTTATCTTATCTAAATTGTAATCTTATTTACCTGAAGTTGGAGTAAATCTCAGAAACGTCGTTTGTTGATGTAATAAACACATTAAAAAAGTCTTGCTGTGGTCTATACATTGAACACAAAATAAGGTTTCATAGCTAGTGGGTGCTCTATGTTGAATGTAAATCAAACTGAGTCATTTTCAATTTGCGTGATTTCACTGAATATGCTAGCGGCAATATATTACATTTATTCTTAGTATAGAACTTCCTTATTTACACGAATGCAATATAAACCGGTCACGTCTGCATGTAATTTGCCGTGAAATGTACGAGTGTTTCTGGAGCTCGCGATTCTATGACGTAGGCAGCCAATTGATCTGTTGCTATGTCGAGCTTATATAGCGGAAAACTTTAAGAACAAAATTTATCATGAATCAAAGTTGCCTGTGGGACTTATCACATATATGATATTTTATATTGTTTTTGTCCTGTTGCTATAGTACGCACTTTGCTCTGTTCCAATTATGCTCTTTAACTTCAAACGTCCATCTTTGCAAGATCTTCAAAATTCTTACAATTTCAACCCGTTTGACCTTATTTCCGGTCTACTTTTACTCTTTCTAAACTCTGCATTTTTACAACAGGTTGGTTACTTTCCAGAGGACATCGCTGAAAAAGAAACCTTAGAAGAAAGGTATAATATATATATATATATATATATATATATATATATATATATATATATATATATATATATATATATATATATATATATATATATATATATATATATATATATATATATATATATATATTAAAACACCTCTACGAAGGCAATCATGCGGTTAGAAATTCAAAACATTTTGTTGATTTTGTAATGACCCAAACAGTAGAACCCGATGAACAAATTGTGTCCTTTGATGTTACTTCGCTTTTCACATCAATTCCGGTAGATTTAGCACTAAAATTCGTTAAAGAAGAACTAGAAAATACAAAGATTTGGAAAGAGCACACAAAGTTGACGATAGAACAGATTTACAGTCTTTTGGCTTTTGTCTTAAAAAATAGCTTTTTTGTGTTCAATGGAAATCACTACCATCAGATTTCTGGTTGCGCAATGGGTTCACCAGTAAGTGCGGTTATTGCTGAGCTAGTTATGCAAAGGGTGGAAAAAATTGCTTTGAGAACATCCCCAGTGTCGGTACGATGGTGGAAAAGATATGTTGATGATTCAAACGCGTGTTTAAAACAAAACGATATAATAGCTTTTCATGATCATTTAAATTCTATAAATCCTTGTATTCAGTTTACCATTGAAACGCCGGCAGTAAATGGAGATATGCAAACAATCGCTTTCCTGGATACAAAGATTTGTAAAATTTCTACAGACATTTCGATTAAAGTTTTCCGTAAGAGCACACACACCGACAAATATCTAGATTTTGGCTCACAATAGCCCTGTAAGAGACAAGATCGCAGTTGTAAAATCATTATTAGACCGAGCGAGAGTTATTCCATCAAACCAAGTTTTACAGGAGGAAACGGATAGAGTAGCAGAAGTGTTAGAGTTAAATGGATACAAGAAAGCGTTTATTGATAATGTTAGAAATACTAACAAAACACAACAAAATTCTTCTGAATTTGAGATTCGTGGCTTGACGTGCATTCCGTATGTGAAAGGTGTGTCGGAAAAAGTCAAAAGCATCTTAACTCGAGCAGGCGTTCGGACAGCAATCAAGCCGATAGTCACGTTAGAGAATGTATTCAAAAAAACAAAAGAAAGACCACAGGAAATGCGAACGAAAGCTATTGTGTACAAATTCAAATGCGAGTCGTGCTCATTCACTTATGTCCGGGAGTCAAAAAGATGTTGGTGTTCCTGATGGCTTGAACACAAACCAGGCGTAAGAAAAAATACTTTTTCAGCTATAAAAGAACATGCTGAACAGACAAGTCATGAAGTCGCTAAAACTGACGTAAATATTTTGGAAAAAGGCATTAAAAACTATGACAAAAGAAGGTTTCTTGAAGCGTTACATTCTGTACTAGACAAAAATGCAGTCAATGAACACATAGAATTTCCGGTTTCGTATTTACCATTGTTAGAATCAATTGAGTGTAACGGGATAAGGCATAAAAGGACTTGAACTAATCGAACACGGCCAAAATACTCTGAAGAAGGCTGCAGTTGGCAGCCGAAAATTTAGCATGTTTTTATTGAAGATTTTTAATAGATCAGTTACAAACTTTTACAAAAATATCATGTTATCCACTGATCGCCCTAACAGTATATATATATATATATATATATATATATATATATATATATATATATATATATATATATATATATATATATATATATATATATATATATATATATATATATATATATATATATATATACAATCTGCAGACATGCATGTTTCGGCGTTCAACGCCTCGTCAGTGCAGCTTGGTACACGTCTAGATACGTAAGACACTCGTATTTATACCCCATGAACTTGCTCTCACCAAGGCATGTGGTACAACACGGTGACTCAACGCATATGCACCTCTCCTGAAAAGTCATGCACCTCCCCTTGGGAAAGTTTCAATGATAGATCAAAGTGAAAATTTGATATTTCTTGGTTGCTTGGGTCCTACACTTCGTAAGAACGTTTTTCTGTAAAATTGAAACAGTGATAGCCATTCCCGTGTCTGGCAGTACGATTTTACCACGACGATTCTACCCTAATTATTTATTATATATGCCTATGATGCGAATAATTACATCATGTACAGTACATGTATTGAACGAGACGAAGTCGAGGTGAATATTCTCCGATAATCACCGAGACTGGGCATAGTTTTTCATTCAGCATAGTTTTTCATCCCATGATAATTTTCTTTAGGAAATAAGAATATTTAATTTCTGCCAGGCATATATATATATATATATATATATATATATATATATATATATATATATATATATATATATATATATATATATATATATATATATATATATATATATATATATATACAGGGTGTATAAAAAAAACTGAACAGATTTGAAATCGCTCTCAATTTCGCAAAACACCTATTTGTATCCCGTTTTTTATATATATAGCTTCTTTGGGTACTTATAATGTAGAATAATGAAAAAAAATTCTCAAACTCAAATTTGGTGAACCAAGGGGGTGTGTCTTTTCCAACAAACTAAAAACGGCTCGCGCACAAAATTTAAAAGCTTTAAGGTGGCTCCCTAGGGTTTTTTAATTTACTACACTATAGTATTCAGGAGACTCCTGTTTCTTTACTTTACATGACATGAAAACGAAATTTATTGGACACATTGACAATGTTCTCCTGAACATTACAAATTGCAACTTTTGTGTTAAAAATCTGTTGTCATGGCAACAGCATGCTTAGAATAAAGCCCAAAATTTGTCTTTTTCAGGTCATTTTAAAAATTCCATTCGGTGAAATTTTTTAAAACTTTGCATAAAAGGTCATACTTGTATAATGATTTTTTCCCCTCAATTTAAAAAAATTAAATCGATACGTTTCTTAGAAAATTTAAAAAACGTCAAAAATCAATATTAAAAATTTTCCCTTCGATTTAATTTTTTTAAAAAAGGATATTGCACTTGCTGTGCCGGTACTAAAAAATGTGCAAAGTTTTAAAAAATTTTACCGAAGGAAAACGGAAAAATTTGGGATTAATTATCGCAATTTTACTAGATTTTTACGCGAACAATTTAATACCCCAACTGACGTGTACAGGCATTCTGCATAAAACAACAAGACATGACTTTTTTGAAATCACAAAATATGAATTATGTTTGATATACTGTTTATAACTGTGTCGGTTATTGGTCAACTAAGCGTGGATCATACATGTAAAATTGGCAAAGATATTTAGGTAATTATTAGTTATGATTTCTTGGTATTAATTTGAAAAATGTTTGTCAAATTTCGTCCCGTGCGAGTTTTAATAGTACATACGTCGGATGTTTTCGCAAAATGCCCGTTCAAATTTCAGTTTTTATGGTGGTATGTTTAGAGTTTCGGCCCTGCTCATTTCACCAGTAGAGGGCTCATTATTTAAGTATCTTTATTGTCATAAGTGCTGCTAGATTGTGGAGAAAACACTGCAAATTCTTGAGAAAACTTTATATCATATCACAATGTTCGCGATCGAACCTGGCGTACGGCGGTTCAAAAAACTTCCAGAATACCGCTTGAAAAAAAACAAGTTTACATTATCTTCTTTTGAAACATCACATCCAAGTATCGTTTTGTCTTTTAGAACTCTTTTTATGCTTTCAACTAAAGCAAAGTTCACACTTTTGTTTCAAAAGAGTTCCATATAAAAACACAACGTTCGTTCGAAGCAGTGCTCTCCAGTGCTCTCCAGTGCTCTCACAATCAAATTTTCGAATTCCTTAGAAAAAGCTCGAAAATTCCTCAGATTTCCTTAAAATTCCTTAAATTGGTAAAATTACTACAAGGCCTGATCACAGAGTTGCAAAAAGTGTTTTTTTCACCTGATTTACCTGAATTTTTCGAACTGAACGTTCTTTAAAACCGTATTTTTTAAAAATTTGAAGTCTCTAGACCGTCGGAAATGGCATTTTTAGAGTCTTATATCCTACCCAATATTTTAGTATTGCCTAACAATGATGATAATTATTGCTACTTTCAGTTTATAATGGGAAATTGAGAAAATTTTTGAAATTTGGAAAGGGTATTTCGCAATTGTCTCCCTGCCACAACACGTCTCAACGTTTTTAGTTTGTTTGATTGTTAACTC